CATGTAGTTGGGGGAAAGAAACCTTATTTAGAGAAGTTAAAATTTGTCCAGTTCTTTTTTTTTTTTAATTTATTTATTTGACAGAGAGAGACAATGAGAGAGGGAATACAAGCAGGGGAAGTGGGAGAAGGAGAAGCAGGCTTCCCTCAGAGCAGGGACCCCGATGTAGGGCTCGATCCCAGCATGCTGGGATCATGACCTGAGCCGAAGGCAGACGCTTAATGACTGAGCCACCCAGGCACCCCAAAATTTGTTCAGTTCTTACTGTTCATAAGAGGGCTAGTCCTCTGGGAATCTGTAATCTAGTGGAGCAGGCAGAAACCAAACCTCAAGTCCCATCATAGATCTTTATTAGTCCTGAGTGGCTCCTTGAGGAAGCCTTGGGAAGGGCTTTAAAAGATGTCTAGAACTTTGACAGGTAACTGCTGGGCTGTGAGATGGGGAGGAAGCAAAAGAGAAAGTCAGAATAGAGGAGAAAAGTTTCACAGAGGCATGATGAGCAAAATACCTGGTGTGGCCAGGAAACAGTAAGAGATGCTCTAATTGGCGGGGGGATAGGATGGTTCAGGATGTCAGCACCTGCGACAGACTTGGAGACAAGATGAGCGGCTGTTGCCAGATGAACTAGAGACCTGGGCCCTGCAGCTCTCACCCAGCCTGTCCCCCTGACATCACCAGAGGCTTTTGGTCTCATCACCAGAATTCAGGGACGGATGAGCCCATGTTTGAGTGGTGCAAATGAAAGGTTTCTTAGAGCACACTCTCGAGATGAGAGGGTGGGCCAGCTCAGGGGAGAGCTGTGCCCTTGTTTTTGGGTCTCTATCTTGTATTGACAGTTGTTAACTAAGCGGTGGAATATTTATTATTTGGGGAGGGGATTTCTTTGAGAGCAGGATTTTGTGCCTTTTCTCCTTACTTGGTCAAGGCTTCTGGCCTTCTTCGTCTTAGGCCTGTCTGGTGTGATTGGGTTTCTTGTGGCTTTGTGAAATGCTGCAGGGACAGGTTCCTAATTTTCCTGATAACAGGGCTCGGGTCCCCCTTTGCTGGCCTTCAGGCAACCTGTTAAGGCCTAACTAACTGCCCACTCTAACAATATAACTAACAGGCAGCCAGGAAGTGGCAAAGGGTTTTGACCAGGGGAATAGCTGGAACAGGACTGTGTTTTAAGAATTCTTCCAGCAGTCTTCCACTAATGTATGCCAGTCTGGGTAGAAGGAGGAGGCAATAAGGCCAGTGGAGGCTGTTGGGTAATGCTGGCAGAACCCAAAGAGGATCTGCCCTGGGCCCTCCCAGAGGAAAGGGAGAGTCCTGCTTCTTACCCCAAATGGTTCTCTAGGAAGCTCTTTCCTGCACGTATTTCTTGGAAAACAAGTAGAATTCCCTGACTGCTTGACTTGTAAAAGCTTTTTGTTTGTAGTTTGTTATTTATCTGTCAAGTAAAAGGGAGCTCTTTTTGTGTCCTTTTTACTCAGGTTCTGAGTCCTAACGAACGGAAGTGGAGTGCTAGGATCAGTAAGGGATCTGGAAAGGATGGAGTCAATAGAATTTGATTGGATGGGGAAATGTAATGAAGACTCCCAAATTTTAAACCTGAATGACTAGGAAAAGAGTGGTTTCCATGTGAGAAATAAGACCATGATTTGAGAAGAAAGTATGCCAAATGGGATCATTTGGAAGTTACAATAGCCTTTTCATGCAGAGATATCCAGAAGCTGTTGAAAGGCCAGAGCTGGTATTCAAAAAAAAAAAAAAAAAAAAAAATAGTAGGGGTTAGAGATAGTAGAGTCGGCTGTTGTCTGCATGGAGATAAAGCCTTGTGTGGTGGATGCCTGTGCAGAGGAAAACATGGCAAATAGACAAGATGGTGGGGATGTTAAAATTCCAGAAAATAGAGCAGGAGAAGGGGACCCGTCAGGAGAAGGGGGAAGGACATGCGAGTAGAGCATGCAGAGCTGGAGAGGAAAAAGGAGGAGATGTGATGTAGGTAAATGCAGCAGGCTGGTCGGGGGGGGAGGCGGATATAGTCGCAGGGGCTGTGTTTGGTGATAAAGGATCCCTTCTCTGGGCAGTCTTCCCACTCCAGGCTATCCCAGACTGTCTTCCTCTTATGGCTTGGCATCGTTGACTGGTTAGTCACTAGAGTTTGCTTGTGTGTCCATTAGATCAAATGCCCGCAAAGAGCAAGGACTGTGTAGAGTTGTCTGCATGGTGAGTATAGGATGAGGAATCAGGAAATTAAGGACATTCCATGAGAGAGCAGTTTCAGGGAGGCGTTGAAAAGGAAAGCCAAAGTGTAGGTTGTGATGAAATAGGATGATGGTAAGAAATGAAAGAAGGCAGTTATGAGAAAAAGAGGAGGGAGAGAGATCACCAGGAAAGAAGGGGAGAGAATAAAATGTCTAATTCTAGTGTAGGTGAGATTTGAACATGTTCCTACGCTGTGGTGCAGACCCGTGGAAAGGAGAGGTTGAGGGTGGGAGGAGAGGCAGTGGTAATGACGCATGGAGTGAATCTGAAAGGGACTGGTGGATGCAGGGGAGGGAATGAAGCTCTGGCAGGGGTGGGGGAAAGCACTGAGAAATGTAGACCTGAAAGGTGGGCCCTGCAGTGGGAGGTCATAATGGACTGCTAGGGAGGACCCTATGGCCTAATGAAAACACGGCAGCCTTGGAGTTTTCATACTGCCCTTCATCAGTGGCATGAACTGTAGCAGGTGACAGCGTTTTTTCAAATGCCTCAACTTCCCTGTAGGTAAAATGGGCGTTAACTACCTTCCAGCTCCAAAAATCAGGTGTTGTTGACCCACTTACTTGCAAGTGCTTTCTTGGCTTTTTGTTTGTTTTGAGTTTCTTTGGGGGATGTTTCCATTAGAGGGTGGAGAAGCAAAGTAGGAGTTGGGTCCTCTTAGCATGCAGGAGACAATGCTGTAGGCCTCAGTGATCAGTTTTTCTGAGGGGTGGGCATAGGATAGGAAGAAAAACACAACGTGAATAAAAGGTTTTGGAAGCATGTGTAAAGACCCAGGGGGAGGGTTAGAGGGCAAGGATGCCTGATCCTGGAGGAATCAGACCCTATAGCTGGAGAGAAGGGGTTAGGGAAGGAGTGACCACAGGCTACCTCCCTGACTGCCTCTTACAGGTAAGGGTAATAAGAGAAGCAGGCACACACCTGGAGCCCAAGCATCCTTAGGGATGGCGTGACTGCAAGCCAGCTTTTAGAGATTAATGGGGAGGGTCCATTAGTTTCCACGCAGCTGCAACGGAGAGTCAACGCAAAGATTAGGAAGTCCTGGCAGGAGCTTCGTGAACCCGCAGGCGTGCAGCCCAACCCTGTCTCGCGCGCGTGCCGCGCCCCGGTCCGGCATTCGTGGTGCAGCGCGCTCTCGCCCCACCAGGAACTTCAGGAACTTGGCTTTCATCTAGTTCCCACAGCACGACCTTAGGGTTTTTTTTGGTTTTTTTTTTTTGTTTGTTTGTTTTTGTTTTTTTTCTTTCTGAGTGGGGAGAGGCCCCGCCTTTCCCGGCCGGGGGTTGGCCTCGGGGGCCGCCCCTCCCGTGCTCCCCGGCAGCTGCTCCTTCCCTGAAGGCGCTGGAGGGCCCTGCAGCGGCCCACGAAACCCAATGGCACTACCCGCCTGGCTGCAGCCCAGGTAGGGCGCCCGGCCCGTGGCGGGAGGCGAGGGGTGAGGTGGGTGAGGCGCCAGGGGGGGGGGGCCCCCCCCCCCCCCCCCGACGCCCGCGGGCTGCTGCGCGGGCAGCACAGCGCGGCGCAACCCTGAGCCCAGTGCGCTCTTGAACTCTAAACAGGCATTAGTTTTCAGTTCTCTCTGCAATTCTAGGAGGAAGGCTCTGTTATTACCCCCATCTACAGGCTAGGAAATGGGAAGGACAGGCTACCCTGCCACCCCTTTTGTGCGCCCTCTACCAGTCAGTCCTGCTTTCCTTCCCCCTCTGGCCACCAGGAGTCCTTCGATTGACTTTGTCGGACCCGCTGTCCCAGGGTGGGTTTCAGACCTGCCAGGTGCAGAAACAACTGTTGCATGTGTAGATTCCAGAGCTCTGTTCAGGGGACTTGGGGCTGTGTGTTTAACCAACGCCAGGTTATTCTGGTGCAGGTTTAAGAAAGGCCTCCTTACGCCAGCTCCTCTTAGTGGTTCGCGTGATCTGTAGGGTGCCTGTCATCAAGCTACACTGGATCTGCTTCCTGCTTATTTGCCTTATTTCTCAGAGGTTTCGCGTCTCCAACTAGAAGAAATCCTTGTCTATACTGGCAGGGCCCCTCCCACCACCCTTCTGAACCCCCAAGGCACATTTCAAACAGTGTTTTCCCTAACTACCTCAAATTGTGTATCTGTCAATCATTCCTGAGTCGTCTCCCCAGCAACCCAGTTTTAAACCCGGCTTGACTTCCCTTTTCTGGCCTGAGCCACTAAACTGTTTTCTGTGTGTGTCTGGGGAAGGAAACGTCTGCCCTTGTAAATATAATGGGCAGTGGCAACGTACTACACACACCACCCCCCATCAGAGAATGCATTCACAAGTCAGGTATGGCCAACTACTGAATCACCCACCACTGGGAAATGCCACCACCACTACTCCCCTCTTGTAACCGTGATCTCAGGTTTTGCACTTTGCAGACTGAGTTGCAGGAACACATTGAGCATGTCAAGTGAGCCCTCACCATCTTTTTTTTTTTTTTTAAGTATTCAAAGCCATCTTTGCAATGTTTTAGCCCTTCGTGAAAACAAGGTTAGAACTTTCTCAAAGCTAAAAGTGAATTTTGAAATAGAGCCATCTTTGACTTTAAGCAAACTCAGGATACTCCTTTTAGCAGATAATGTATGCTGTAGGTCCTTTCAAAATCTGAATAAAAGACTCTGATACGGAATGGTTTTCTCTTGCTTGCTTAGGTGGGCCAGCAGGTTAGTTAAAAGATTTGTGCGTAATGCTGAAAAGATTATTATGAAGGAAGTACTTAATGGTATTTTCCTTTATTTATAGGTATAGGAAGAATACCTATCTTTTCATCTACTACTTAATCCAATTCTGTGGCCACTCATGGATATTTACCAATATGACAGTCCGATTCTTTTCATTTGGAGAAGGTAAAACTCCAGAAATCATTTTGGATTTTTAACATTCAATACTTGTTTTCACCTAGTCCTGCTTATGTTAATTTCTCAACTTCTGCGAACTTCACCGAATATCCTTCACTGCTCTAAGATTTAGTAGCCATATTTTTCAGTAACCATTCTTCTTGCTCATTGCAAAAACTAAAACCTTTTTGGAGAAAGGGGGCAGGTGAGTTGAGGGGGGAGGGACTTGGCTTCCCTCTGACTAGGCAGTTTGCTCCGAAAACACAGACATGGCATTGGGGTGGTGCCATCTGACTCTTCCTTTTTGGTTCTGCAGCAAACCTTTTCATATGTGTTGGGTTTTGAGGAAATCTGTAAATGTCAGTATAACCTTTTGCCCAGAGAACTCAGGAATTAACCAGATTCTTTCCTTGTCTTTTTATTCCCCAGGCTTAACATAACTAGAGACTACTAATAAGTAAAAGACAAACTGTATGGTCCCCTTAAGAAGTAATGTGTCCCTAAGTAAATGACACACCTTCTAGATGACTCACCATCCATATGGGAGTTGGTAAAGTCATGTTTCCTCCAGTTTTCTAAAAAGTAAAGATTTTAACCAGCATTTCAATTTTTAAGAAATGAATCACTAAGTGACTGTCAAAATAACATTCTTTTCATGTTCCATCCCCACATGGGTAAGTGTCATCACAGTTTACAACTGTTGGGTGGCTTGACAGTTTGAGCAACTGCTGGTTTCAGCTAGAAACAAACACATAGAATGTACCCGAGAAAAACCATGCTCTGCTCATCAATTCAGACTTCTGTATCATAAGGAAATACATCTGATTCTGAGGTGCCATAACTATCTTTGGTTGCTTTTTCTTACTGTGAATCTGCAGTTAAAGTCTTGCCTTCAGCAACCTCCAAAGACACAACCTAAGGCTTGAATTCCAACTATGAATGTTGGGAGTCTTCAATCAGGTGAAAACATGAGCGGTGGGAAAACTTCCTGTATGTTTATAGGGGGAAAAGTCAACGCTTCTAGGCCTTGAAAATTAGCTGGGGCGTTGTGGGCATATTACAAGTCATTCACGCCAAGAGTTACAAGCAATGAACTCCTCCTTATCCTGCCTGGCCTTTCCAGTGGGAAAAATTGCTTTAGTTGGCAGTATATTTATTTCTTAATTATTATCCTACTGTTAAAATTAGAGAAGCCTCTTATTAAAGTAACACAACCATTCATATGGAAAGCAGACTGAAAACAGCTAAGTAGGAGTTCAGTATAATTCCTGAGTCAATGTATAAATTAAATAGCTTAGTAGCAGTCTAATCACCTGAAGAGTAACAGCTGCTACCTTCTCCATCCCAGAGCTGTGTAATGGGAAGTGCTCTTTTATAGCAAGTGTGGGGCAGTGGATGAGAGCATGGACTTCCGTCCCTCAGGGACCATCTATGAAATGGGAATGATGATAATAGTGCTCACCTTATAGAGCTGTTGAGAAGAGAAACCCTTAGTTCTCCATAAGTTACCATCATGTGAATGATCACTGGGCAATAAAGACAGCCAACTCTTCCCTAGATGTTTCTTAACATGGTAGGATTTCCTTTTAAAATTTAAGCCAACAAATACATCCTATTTAGAGGAATAGTTGTTTCTCCTATTTCGTTTTTTTCCAAATGCAGTGTGGGCTCTCTGCAGTGCAGACTTCAAAAGTCCCCACCAGAGGCCCAGGTTCTAATAAAGTTTTAGAAAGCCCAAACCAAACACATATAGGACACAAATAAGATGTTATTAAGCATGACATCATTATGAATGTCCTTTCCATAAAGCTTCTCTAGTATCCTATTTTTCTCATCTTTGTCATTTTCTTGTCAATGAAAAAGGTGTGAGCACACCAGCTTCTTCAGTAAGTTTACCTCCAACCTGTTTACAGTTGATGGTTTAGATTCTACCAGGTTACTTTTATTTGGGAATTGCTTTATAACATATTGGGAATTATATATATGGAGAGTAAATACTACAGCTTGTCCATGGGCCTTCTTTTTCAAAATTTTGCTGCTTTTTTAGCAGAGGAGCAATTAAGATATACTACAATAGGAAGTACTTTGTTTGGTTGCATGGTATTAGTAATTTAGTAGCTGTTAGGAAATTTCTCACATGTACAATGAGAAAAGAAGTAAATAATCACAATTTTTATTTCAAAGTGCTGCATAGATGTGGGTTGTGACCTAGCTTTTACCTTATTGTATCTGTTTCTAATTCCTGGACACAGATTCCATGGTTGACACTTTCTACGCTATTGGTCTTGTGATGCGTCTTTGCCAGTCCATTTCCCTCCTGGAGTTGCTGCACATATATGTTGGCATTGAACCAAACCATCTCTTTCCCAGGTTTCTGCAGGTAGGTTTGGTTTTGTTTTGTTCACGATCTATCACTGGGGGCTCCTGGGTGGCGCAGCCAGTTAAGCAGCCAACTCTTGGTGTCGGCTCAGGTTGTGATCTTAGGGTTGTGAGATGGAGCCCTGTGTCGGGCTCCTCACTCCACACGGAGTCTGCTTCATGTTCCCTCTCTCTCCCCGCCTTCCCCTCCCACCTGTGTGTGTGCTCTCTCTGTCAAATAAGTCAATCTTGAAAAAAAATACACATGATATTATTGACTATATTCTCTATGCTGTACTTTTCATTCCTGTGACTTATTTTAAAACTGGACATTTGTACCTCTTAATCTCCTTTATCTGTTTTGCCCATCCCCCCAAATACCCCTCCTCTGGCAACCATCAGTTAGTTCCCTGTATTAAGAAATCTGTTTGGGCCCTTTATTTATTTATTTATTTTTTGTTTGTTCATTCATTTGTTTTTTAGGTGCTACAAATAAGTCAAATTATGTGGTCTTTGTCTTTCTAACTTATTTCACTTAGCATAATACCCTCTAGATCCATCCATGTTCTTATCAATGGCAAGATCTCATTCCTTCTCATGGCTGAGTAATATTCGTTTGTGTGTGTGCACACGCACCACATCTTTATCCATTCACCTATGGGTGGACACTTGGGGTTGCTTCTATAACTTGGCTGTTAGAAATAATGCCTATGAACAATAGCAATATTGCAGTAAACACAGGGGTGCATATGTTTTCAAATTAGTGTTTTTGTTTTCTGTGGGTAAATACCCAGTAGTGGAGTTACTGGATTATATTGTATTTCTATTTTTAATTTTTGAAGGAAATTCCATACTGTTTTCTCCAGTGGCTGCATTAATTTACATTCCCACCAGTTGCCTTTTCTCTTCATCCTTGCCAACACTTCTTGTTTCTTGTCTCTTTGATTCTAGACACTGCCAAGTATGAGGAGGTATCTCATTGTGGTTTTGATTTGCATTTCCCTGATGATTAGAGCATCTTTTCATGAGCCTGTAGGCCATCTGTATGTTTTCTCTGAAAAAATGTCTGTTCAGTTCTTCTGCCCAGTTTTTAATTGGATTGTTTGTTTTTCTGATGTTGTATAAGTGCTTCATGTATATTTGGATAGTAACCCCTTACCAGATATTTCTCATTCAGATACATTCTCCCACTCAGTAGGTAGCCTTTTTGTTTTGCCGATGGTTTCATTTGCTGTGCAAAGGCTTTTAATTTTGGTGTAGTCCCAGTGGGTTAATTTTGCTTTTGTTTCTCTTGCCTGCGGAGACATATGCATAAATATGTTGCTAAGGCTTATGTCCAAGAGATTACTGCCCATGTTTTCTTTTAGGAGTTTAATGGTTTTAGGTCTCACATTTAGGTCTTTAATCCATTTTGAATCTGTTTTTGTGTATGTTGTAAGAAAATGGCCCAGTTTCTTTCTTTCACGTGTAGCTGTCCCATTTTTCTCAATACCATTTGTTGAAGAGACTGTCTTTTCCCCATTGGACATTATTGCCTCCTTTGTTGAAGATTAATTAACCATATAATCATGGGTTTATTTCTGGGCTCTCTGTTCCGTTCCTTTGATCTATTTGTCTTTTTTTGTGCCAGTACCATGCTGTTTTGATTACTTCAACTTTGTCATATTATCTTGAAATCTGGGATTGCAATTCCTCCACTGTGTGGTTTTCTCTCAAGACTTCTTTGTCTATTCAAGGTCTTTTGTGGTTCTGTACAAATTTTAGGATTATTTGTTCTAGTTCTGTGAAAATGCTTATGGTATTTTTACAGGGTTTGCTTTGAGTCTGTAGTCTGCTTTGGATAGTATGGACATTTTAATGATAATTCTTCATGAGCTTGGTTCTGCAGGGAGATTTTAATCACTTACCAGTATTATAGAATCTGTTTTTTAATTTAATTTTATTTTTTTATTTATTTGACAGATCACAAGTAGGCAGAGAGGCAGGCAGAGAGAGAGGGGGAAGCAGGCTCCCCGCTGAGCAGAGAGCCCGATGCGGGGCTCAATCCCAGGACCCGAGATCATGACCTGAGCTGAAGGCAGAGGCTTAACCCACTGAGCCACTCAGGCGCCCCTATAGAATCTGTTTTATACTTTATACTATTTCAGGCTCTCTTGACTTAAAGTGAGCAGTTGAAAAGCAAATCCCTGAAAAATTGCAACTCAAGTCACTGATAAGAATTCTATGAAAAAAATGACCTTACTCCAAGACATTGCACCATTAGACTAGGCAGTTGGAAACATTCAAGGCAACGAGGCTGTTGCTTTGGGAAGCATGGAGGTGATCTTCTCTTAAGAGTTGGATTTCAGGGGCACCTGGGTGGCTCAGAGGGTTAAAGCCTCTGCCTTCGGCTCAGGTCATGATCCCAGGGTCCTGGGATCTAGCCCCGCATCGGGCTCTCTCCTTGGTGGGGAGCCTGCTTCATCTTCTCTCTCTCTCTGCCTGCCTTTCTGCCTACTTGTGATTTCTCTCTGTCGAATAAATAAATAAAATCTTTAAAAAAAAAAAAAAAAGAGTTGGATTTCAGAGCCACTTGCCACTCTACCTGTGCCACTGTCCTGGGCACTGGAGGACAGAGGAGAGTCATAGGATTGGAGTCATTCAGACTTCGGTTTGACTCCTGGCTTCTCTAGCTACACTGTGGGGTCAGATCCATAGCCATTGAGCTGTTTCAGGGAAAAGACACCACACAAAATATCTGGTCAATAGTAAACGGCCCAGGGGCACTGGGTGGCTCAGTCAGTTAAGCATATGCCTTTACAGCTCAGATCATGATCCCAGTGTCCTGTCCTGGGATGGAGCCTTGCATTGGGCTCCTTGCTTGGCAGGGAGCCTGCTTCTCCCCCAACCCCCATGTCCTCTCTCTCAAATATATAAAATCTTAAAAGAAAAAAAAAAAAGTAAATAATCGCTCCCAAAAAGTTTCCTTCACCAATATCCAAAGAATAGAATATTCAGCCATTTCTTGTTCTTTTTGCCAATTTTTACTGAATACAAATGCAAAGGAGAGACCATTCATGTTTATCTAGTATATCTAATATACATCTAATCATAGACTTGGGACTCCTACAGACCTGGATTCAAATCCCAGTTCTAGCTCTTATTAGTTGTATGAATTTATTTTTTTATTTCAAATTTTTATTTAAATTCTGGTTAGTTAACAGATAGTGTAATAGTTTCAGGAGTAGAAACTAGTTGTATGAATTTAAACAATTTCCATTTAAACATGGAAATTGTTCTGAACCTCATTTTCTCATGTGATGTGAAAATAACACTTACCTCATGGAGTAACTGGAAAAAAATGGGTGGGATAAGTTCCTAGTGCTTAGTTAGAATACAATATCTGGAAGCTATTGCTATTATTTTAGCTATTATTTGTTTCCTGTACCAGGTCTTTAGCCCTAGATGACCATGTTCCTTTTTCTTTTCTTTTTTTTTTTTTTTTAAGATTTTATTTAAGAGAGAGAGTGAGAGGCCACACTAATTTGGGGGTGAGGGGAGAGGGGCACAGAGACAGGGAGAGGGAGAAGCAGACTCCCCACTAAGCAGGAAGCCTGATACAGGGCTTGATCCCAGGACCCTGGGTAATCCCAGGACCCGGAGATCATGACCTAAGGCAAAGGACACTTAACCTATTGAGCCGGCAAAGGACACTTAACCTATTGAGCCATCCAGGCACGCCCACCATATTCCTTTTTTAAAGCCAGGTTGAAGGGTGGTGCCTGAGTAGTGCAGTTGGTTAGGCAACTGCCTTTGGCTCAGCTCATGATCTCAGGATCCTGGGATCAAGCCCCGCATCAGGCTTCCTGATCAGTGGGAAGCCTGCTTCTTCCTCTCCCTCTCCCTCTCCCTCTGCTTGTGCTGTCTTTTCCTCTCTCTGTCAAACAAATAAATAAATCTAAATAAATAAGTAAAGGCAGGTTGAAGGAAGATGAGAAATTCACGGGTGGAGACTCAATACAAGAAATCATTGCTGGTAAGGCAAGAAAAAAAAATGCTATTTTCCATATGAAGAGAGATAAGTTAGGTGACTATGTGAACATGAGTTTGAAATATGCAGAAAAAGGGATTTCTGTGAGGATAACTTTAACTATTTGCAAAATAAATTGGAAAAATGGAAATAACTAAATTTGACAAATTGGCATTGTGAAAATAATTTGTCAGAATCTGCATTTACTGCTAACATCTAGCAAAGTATTTAGGATAAACATATGCCTTAAATTTTTGTTGATTAGAGTGACACAGATTCTTATACTAAAATCTGTTTAAAATACCATGAAAGTTTAAAGATGGAAATAGGAATATAATCCTAAGGAGCCTATTAAGAACTTAGCATTAGGGGCGCCTGGGTGGCTCAGTGGGTTAAAGCCTCTGCCTTCAGCTCAGGTCATGATCCCAGGGTCCTGGGATCAAGCCCCACATCGGGCTCTCTGCTCAGCAGGGAGCCTGCTTCCTTCTCTCTCTGCCTCTCTGCCTACTTGTAATCTCTGTCTGTCAAATAAATAAATAAAATCTTTAAAAAAAAAAAAAAAGCATATTACTTGGGAACAAGATTTATTGATATTTATTCCTTATTAACAACTTCATGCTAATTCTAAAGAACAGAATGAACTACCCAGTTAAATGAAAGCTGTAGTCCATCATATGGAATTATTTTGCCTCGAATATGACCAAATTCATTGAAAGTCTAAGCATGTTTTCTTTCGCTAATACCTTTTTGGACTTTTTTTTTTTTTTTAAGATTTTTATTTATTTGAGAGAGTGTGAAAGATATTTATTTGAGAGAGAAAACACGAGTGGGGAGGGACAGAGGGACAAGTAGACTCCCCACTGAGTGAAGATCCTGACAGGCTGCTCGATCCCAGGACCCTGAGATCATGACCTGAGCTGCAGTCAGAAGCTTAACCAACAGAGTCACTCAGGCACCCCTGGACTTTTTACTTCTTTAAGCTACATTGGTGAATAATAGTTTCATAGTAAAAC